TGAAGCATTCAGTTTTCTTGCGCTTTTTATTTAAGGCGTTCAGTCTTGGGCTCAGAGGCCTAAGCAATTTTAAGTGTGACCTACGATCTAATAAAAATCTATCTATTTTACTGGTGATGTAAATGAAATTAATTAGTTGTAGCAGATTGATTATGTTCTGAAACTTGCTTGATGATGGTGATATATGTGTCAGGAAGTCCCTAGGACTACTCTGAGGTTCGTTAATTTGCTAGGACTCACAGAACACAGAGTTTTTATGCTCATGATTATAGTTTATAGTAGCAAAAGGATACAGATTAAAGTCAACAAGTCTTCCAGTTCTCTTCTCTAGTAGAGTTGTGTAGATGGCGTTTAATTTTCCTATTAATGAGCCATTACATGTGTGAAGTATTGCCAACCAGGAGAGCTCTTAAACCTTGGTGTCTAGAGTTTTTGTTAGGATCTGTCACATGGCATGGGCTGACCATGTGACTGACCTTTGTTACTCAGTTTTCACCCCTTCCCAGAGGTCACACTGATAACAGCATGGCCCAGGGCTCCAGGGAAATAAACAGAGATGTTAGCCATAAATCATTTTGTCAGCATAAACTATCTGGTGCAATCCAAGGTGTCAGGTGGGCAAAGACATTGTTATTGGGGCTATTCTGAGGGTTCTGAAGTTAATCTGGTCAAGGACCAGTCCTTTCTTTGGCAGTGTGCAGGATTTGAGTATCCAAAGCCTGCTAAGTTAACCTATGCTGTGTATAAAGATTAAACATAAGTATGTCATTATAACTTGCTTCAACTCTAGTTGTGTCTGATGACTGTGGCTCTAGTTGTATCTGATGATATATGAAGTTAGCATTCAATAGATAGACATTGTATATACGTGTAATCTAGGAAATAACTTACTAATAGCAGTTTTCAGTAGTAATGCCTGATAGGTATTATTCGTTAGCATATTTACTGTAGGTGACAAAAATCAGTGAAACTTTTTTAGCCAAACATATCTTTATTGATAGAGCTTTTCCTTTGGCTCACATAATACAAGCTTTCAAGATTATTAATTCAGAATATGGATCTAATAAGGTTGTTAGTCATGTGTGCATGCGTGTGTATGTATCTCATTGTGTGTGGTCTAAAGATCAGCTGTCTAGCAGTCTTCAAGCATTTGAAATACTGCTGAAGTGATGTCTTAATGCTTGCTAGTAGTGAAAAGCACACACAAATACAGAATATTTAAAGTAGGCTGATTGCTGAAGCCTTTGTTAGATTGACAGCTGGAATTAAAAGTGTACATTTTTTGACTACTAGTGGCCATAATAGCTAGGTAGTTTAGAAATCAAGAAAAAGGGGCAACCAAGGAAAAAGAATAGTAGAAAGGGAAAGGACAAAACAGCAGAAGCAACTCAGAAAAGGTAAAGTAAAATTCCAAGGATCAAAGACATGGAGCCAGCTATTAGCCTGACAATGGAAAATAGGAACGCATACTTAGAAGAAAACAGAAGCATATAGAATGGCCTAATAATCTTGTGCTGTGAATTTCAAAATGTTTAGGTTTTTTATTAATGAAATGTTTAAGTATATTTTAAAAATTAAAGAGAGACTACAAGAATTTGTGCTTTCAGGGGGCCTAAGTCCTACTTTCAGCTGCTTTCCCCACCAGCCTTTGCAATATTGTTATGGTGACCCCACTGAAAACCATGAACTTATCTCAGTTTAGAATCCTTAAAATATTTTATTATTCTAAGCCTCTTCATAATAGCTAGTAAGAACTGGTTTTCTACTAATAGGTAGAGTCCATGTAATGAAAACCAAATTATATTTCAATCAGTAAGCTAAAATATTACAGGGCAAGGCAACAAACATATTCTGCACAGGATTCTATTTTGTAGGCAGATTATTCAAACCCATCACCATGGATGGACATTTGGGCTGTTTCCTGAATTTTGCAAATACCAATAAATAGAATAATGAATATCCTTGTGCATTTTATTTATTTCTTTCATGAAAGGGCAGAGAGAAAGAGACAGCATCCTGGACAGGTACTTGATGTTGCGATCTACCCCCATGATCACTGTCCAGGATCATGGCACATGTGTGCATGGCATGCTCAGGGAGGTCTCCAGACATGAACTGAGAAACCCTGCCATGTGGATCAGCCTCACAGAATGTTGAATTTTACTGCTATGCCACCATTTTGCCCCTCTTAGGCATTTTCATATTATTGCAGGTACATCTTCAGGGTAAGTTCGTAGCAGAATTATTGGGTCAAAGAGTAAATGCCTTTGTAATTTTGTTACATTCTAGCAAATTCCCTGCTTTAGGTGTTGTGCCATTCTGCCTTCCTGGCAGCAGTATACAAAAAAGACTTTCTCCATAGCCTTGCCAATCAAGTGTATTTTATCACATTTCAAATTTTTGCTAGTCTGATAAGTGAGAAACTACATTCAATTTTCATTCCCATTTCACTTGTGTGAGTGAGTTGAACATGATTACATTTGTTTTAGGGCCATTTTTATTTGTATCTTTGCAAATAGACTGTTCACATTTACTGCTTTTTTTTCATAGGATTTTTGGTCTTTTTAAGGATCTTCTTCTTATTACTATTTTTTAATATCAGGTGTGTGTGCTCACTAGAAGACAGGAGGAAAGCTCCTGCTGTGGGGTGTGGCCATGCCACAATCCCTTCTTCTCATCTCCTCTTTGTCAGGATTCAGGATACATACACACATGTACCCAGTATATTTTTCAAGCCACTAGGCCATGAGACATTTTCCACTATTATTTCTTCAAAAACATTTTTTTCAGCCCCTCTCCATTTAGGGACTCTGATGACACAAATGTTAAACCTGTTAGTATTGTGCTACAAGTCTCTGAGCCACTGTTCATTTTATTTCTTTTTTTTTTTCTCTTGTTCAGAGTGGATTATTTCTATTGATCTGTCTTTGAGTTCAGAGATTTCTCTCCCATCATTTCTTTATCTTGGTTGTAACTTGCTATTTTTTGTTTAAAACATGTTCATAACTGTTAATTGAAGCATTTTATGATAGTTATTTAAAAACTTTTGTCAAGTCCTTGTCAGATAATTCTAGTATCTGTGTCATCTCCTTATCAACATTTATTGACTGTCTTTTCTCTTTCTGAGATTTTCTTGGTTCTTGATATGCTCAGTTATTTTCAGTTGCAGTCTTTACATTTTGGGTGTTATAAGACTGAGTTCTGATAAATCTTGTTGCCTGTTATTACCAGACTGGAAAGTAGTCAGGCTTAGCTCACACATAACAACGTCTGCAGGCACCTCCACCAGGGAGGCCTCCTCACTGCAAAGATGGGGTGGTAGATGAGCTTAACTCTCACAGACAACTTCTGTCCCATTTTTGAAGTTGTAGTGTTTCGATTTTTCTAGAACATCCAACACTTACAAATTATTATTCTACTCCTTTTATTGAAGTTATATGACTGAAGCTCATGTACTACTAAAAAGATGGCACATTTTTCTGTAAAGGTTTTAGTCTTTGTGAACCCTGTGATCTCTGGTCCACTAAAATGACCTCCCCTCTCCTTTTCTCTGAATCTCTCACAGGATCAATCCTGTGAGATTGGCAGGAGATCCAAACAAAAACTGGAAATTAATTTTTTTCTCCTTACAAGTAATTTGAATTTTTTTCTGTTTTCTGACTCCTAGTCATGCTGAAGCTATGGATTCTATGTGATTGTGTATTTTCTTCTTTACTTATCTATATGCTTTTTGATGAGTATGTAAATTTAGGTGGCTGCTATTATTTTAAGACAACAGGATGTCTTTAATTGGATATCCTAAGAGGAAGCATCTCTGAATTTCACTTGAGATGACTAGTGCTTGTATTTCTCTGTGAAGGCACCAAGGAAGGCCACATACAAGCCTCTTGCCCTTGAATGAGTCATCACATCTCTGAAAATGTTTTCGTTGTTGTTTTTTAAGATAGGATATTACCACATCTTGATCTTCCTGCCTCAGCCTACCAGCTGGGACTATAAGCTTGTGCCACCATACCGGGCTCTGTTTTAGACATGGTCTTACTGTGTAGCGCAGGACAGGCTTGAACTTCAATCCTTCTTCAGCCTCCCCAACTCACTGGGACTACAAGTGCACACCATTGCACCAGGGCTCCCATGTGGTCAACATCCTGTGGAGCGTAGCATCTTAGCAGCTCATGTCTCTACAGCTGAGCCTTTTGTTTGTTTGTTTTCCTTTATTGGCAGAATTAATATGGGCATAGGGCATGACTCGAAAGTTGGAGACATGTTTAAAGGCCTTTACAAACATTTTTTCCTCTAAACAATGTTAAAAAGCCAAGTCTTTTCTTTTTTTTTTTTAAATCTGTTTACTTTAGAAGTCTGAAAAATTGTATTGCTAGTATTGAACATGTTTGGAAACCAGTAGATTAGATGCATGATCTTTTTGGTCTCATCATGGTATATTGGCCTCGTTCTGTATTTAAGATATTTCCATGTAATTATTAGGTATCTGATTTGTGGAGGCAAAGAATGACTTGTTTGCTTATTTTTTTAAGAATTACTTATTTAATTTTGTTATTATTATTATTATTATTATTAAATTTACTATAAGACATGTGCAATCTCCAGAGAGAGAGAAAATGAGAAAGCAAGCTGCCAGGTCCAGGACTCAAACCATCATTAGCCATATGGGAGTCCGACGCCCCAACCACCACACCACCTACTAGCCCCTTGTTTGCCTATTTTCAAATTCATCTATCTGCTACATAAATGTAGAAATTAGAATATAAGTGGTCTCAGACTTCTGTCTCCTTTTTGTGAAGAGTGAGCCGAGGCAGGCACTGAGAGAAAGCTAAGGTATCTGCTGTTTAATAAACTAATCAAGTCTAAGCAAGTACTTTTGCCTCTATTCTAAAACATAAAATGTGGTTAATATTTTACTATCACTTCTGAGGTATATTATGTATATTAAGCATTCAAACAAATATATAAAATGGTTATTCTCTTTTTACATCCTGTAGATTCTTGTAGACACTGTGTGGGCTCTGTCATACTTGACAGATGGAGGTAACGAGCAAATACAGATGGTTATTGATTCAGGGGTTGTGCCATTTCTTGTGCCCCTTCTGAGCCACCAAGAGGTAAAAGTTCAAGTAAGTACTTTTTGCATTTTTCTTCTCTGGAACTGAGCCTGGTTTTTATTGATTTCCAAGTTTATTTCATCCAAATTGCTGAGTTTCAGACCCATATGCTCAGTTCTTCACCCTTTAGACATACCCTCTAAGAACTTGAAGCATTCCATTGTCAGTTCAACCAGTCAAACATGAAATGAATCATCTTTTCCCACCAATCTGTTTCTCTTCCTGTATCCCTTTTCAATGGAAATTTTATTTCCTCCCTTTATTTGTCATTCCATCACAGGATCTTGTCAGTTCTTTGTATAGCTTTAAAATCTGCCTCTCCTCATCTATCTAGAGCCCCTGACTTATTTGAAGACTCCTTTTTTTCCTCCAAGATAACTGTACTTCCCATCTTCTCACTCTAATTAAAGGTAGCTGACCAATAGCTTTGTTCATCCTAAATTTGCCAATCTGACTTTCTTAGTGGGAGTTTGTGCCCATTCCAGGCATTTTGAAAATCTCTCTAAAGCCAGTTTAGCAGCGGCTAAATGCAATTGTTTAAAAAATGGGACTTCATGTTTTTTGTCTTAATTTTCTTTTAATTTTTGAACCTTTTTTCCAACAATTTTTCCATAAAGTTTGTTCTTTTCACAAGATCCTATTGTTTAGAATTGCTCTTAGTCTACTTAATGCTTTATATAAGGATGAAGTATGTTAATTTTTCAAGCCTTGCATTTTTACATTTTCTCAGGAGATATGAAAAATAATAGAATCTGTTTCATCATAAACAAATAAAGAAAACATTTTATTCTTACTCCAGACAGCAGCACTCAGAGCAGTTGGCAATATAGTGACCGGCACTGACGAGCAAACCCAGGTTGTTCTCAATTGTGATGTCCTGTCACACTTCCCAAATCTCTTATCACATCCAAAAGAGAAGATCAATAAGGTAAGGCATATATGTCCTCAGCATTATATTTCTGACTCTTTGTACACCCTATTTGTAACTGGCTGTCTGTTTCTGTTGCTGCTTATTTGTGTTTTTCTTCACTGCTGTTAAGAGGATAATTGTTTTAGGGGCCAACAGATGGCATAATGGTTACGTCACTGGACTCTACCTAGTCAACCACAGTTTAAGTCCCAGACCCAGCAGCTTCAGACTCCAGCTGGACACATGTGCATGTGTGCCCAAAATCCCATGAGAAGAATGGAGGAGAAGTGATTGCTGTGTGGCCATTTTTCCCTTGGGGGGTGATTTCTTGCTTTCTGTCTCTCCACTGAATGCACATGCCCTAAAGCAAAAAAACCTTCTCTCTCTCTCTCTCTCCAAAGTTTCATAACCAAAGTAGGATGATGCACTTGGGCGTCCATGAAACCAAATTCTGACACCACTAATTGCAAAGCAAACTGTTTGGTTTGCATTTCTCTAACGATTGATCGTGTCGACAAGTTTTTAAATTTGGTTTATTGCTATTTATGTGGATTAATTTGTAAAGTGTCTGTTCAAGTCTTTTGACCCAGTTTTTAAATTGCTTTTTGATTATCTTCTATTGAATTATACAAGTTCTTTACATACCCTGGAAACAAGTCTATTGTCAAATGTGTGATAGGACTTGAAAAAGTTTGTGGGAAAATGGAATTAAAGCATGACTTTATTTTGGTACAGAAAAAAAATTTTGAAATCTATGCGTAGTTTTTTCATAATAGGCATTTTGCATGAGTGTTTTGAAAACACTTTGTATACATTGCATGTCTTTCCCCAGTCTAGCTTCCCTATCTATTAACAGAGTCATTCAATAAGCAGAAGTTTTCATTTTTTTAAGAATTACTTATTTAATTTTGTTATTATTATTATTATTATTATTAAATTTACTATAAGACATGTGCAATCTCCAGAGAGAGAGAAAATGAGAAAGCAAGCTGCCAGGTCCAGGACTCAAACCATCATTAGCCATATGGGAGTCCGACGCCCCAACCACCACACCACCTACTAGCCCCTTGTTTGCCTATTTTCAAATTCATCTATCTGCTACATAAATGTAGAAATTAGAATATAAGTGGTCTCAGACTTCTGTCTCCTTTTTGTGAAGAGTGAGCCGAGGCAGGCACTGAGAGAAAGCTAAGGTATCTGCTGTTTAATAAACTAATCAAGTCTAAGCAAGTACTTTTGCCTCTATTCTAAAACATAAAATGTGGTTAATATTTTACTATCACTTCTGAGGTATATTATGTATATTAAGCATTCAAACAAATATATAAAATGGTTATTCTCTTTTTACATCCTGTAGATTCTTGTAGACACTGTGTGGGCTCTGTCATACTTGACAGATGGAGGTAACGAGCAAATACAGATGGTTATTGATTCAGGGGTTGTGCCATTTCTTGTGCCCCTTCTGAGCCACCAAGAGGTAAAAGTTCAAGTAAGTACTTTTTGCATTTTTCTTCTCTGGAACTGAGCCTGGTTTTTATTGATTTCCAAGTTTATTTCATCCAAATTGCTGAGTTTCAGACCCATATGCTCAGTTCTTCACCCTTTAGACATACCCTCTAAGAACTTGAAGCATTCCATTGTCAGTTCAACCAGTCAAACATGAAATGAATCATCTTTTCCCACCAATCTGTTTCTCTTCCTGTATCCCTTTTCAATGGAAATTTTATTTCCTCCCTTTATTTGTCATTCCATCACAGGATCTTGTCAGTTCTTTGTATAGCTTTAAAATCTGCCTCTCCTCATCTATCTAGAGCCCCTGACTTATTTGAAGACTCCTTTTTTTCCTCCAAGATAACTGTACTTCCCATCTTCTCACTCTAATTAAAGGTAGCTGACCAATAGCTTTGTTCATCCTAAATTTGCCAATCTGACTTTCTTAGTGGGAGTTTGTGCCCATTCCAGGCATTTTGAAAATCTCTCTAATGCCAGTTTAGCAGCGGCTAAATGCAATTGTTTAAAAAATGGGACTTCATGTTTTTTGTCTTAATTTTCTTTTAATTTTTGAACCTTTTTTCCAACAATTTTTCCATAAAGTTTGTTCTTTTCACAAGATCCTATTGTTTAGAATTGCTCTTAGTCTACTTAATGCTTTATATAAGGATGAAGTATGTTAATTTTTCAAGCCTTGCATTTTTACATTTTCTCAGGAGATATGAAAAATAATAGAATCTGTTTCATCATAAACAAATAAAGAAAACATTTTATTCTTACTCCAGACAGCAGCACTCAGAGCAGTTGGCAATATAGTGACCGGCACTGACGAGCAAACCCAGGTTGTTCTCAATTGTGATGTCCTGTCACACTTCCCAAATCTCTTATCACATCCAAAAGAGAAGATCAATAAGGTAAGGCATATATGTCCTCAGCATTATATTTCTGACTCTTTGTACACCCTATTTGTAACTGGCTGTCTGTTTCTGTTGCTGCTTATTTGTGTTTTTCTTCACTGCTGTTAAGAGGATAATTGTTTTAGGGGCCAACAGATGGCGTAATGGTTACGTCACTGGACTCTACCTAGTCAACCACAGTTTAAGTCCCAGACCCAGCAGCTTCAGACTCCAGCTGGACACATGTGCATGTGTGCCCAAAATCCCATGAGAAGAATGGAGGAGAAGTGATTGCTGTGTGGCCATTTTTCCCTTGGGGGGTGATTTCTTGCTTTCTGTCTCTCCACTGAATGCACATGCCCTAAAGCAAAAAAACCTTCTCTCTCTCTCTCTCTCTCCAAAAAAAAAAAAAAGATAATTGTTTTAAATCACCTCAAATTTCTTTTTAAGTTTTTGCCAGGCACCAGCAGTCAGCTTCATGGCTGTGTCGCTGGGTTCCCATGTAGTTTGAGTCCTGGAACCAGTGACTTAAACTCATGCCGGGTGTGTGTGTGTGTGTGTGCGTGCCCAAGACCCCGAGAGGAGAATAGAGGAGAAGGGATTGCGGCGTGGCCATTCCCCATGGGGGATGATTTCTCACTTTCTGTCTCTCTGTCTTTCTGGCGAATGCAAGCATCCTATAGCAAAAAACCTCTTCCCCCCAAAAAACGTTTTTGCTATAAGTCATGTACACTCACTGAAAGAGAGAGAGGGGAAAAGTGAGAGATCATCCCCCAGGGATGGCCATGCCACAGTCCCATCTCCTATATTCTCCTTTCAGTATTTTGGGCATACACTCCCAAACACACCTGACTTTTTTTTTTTTTTTTTCCCTTCTTGTGGTGGGATTGGGGAGAGAGAAACAGAGAGAGGTAGATGTTTTTGACCAGGTCTTACATATCATTTTATGTTCCTGTGCCAGCCTCCCAGTAAGCTAGGACCACAGGCACCTGTTTCAACTTTCAGTTGCTTCCTGTAAGTGCTGCCCTGATCATAGAATAAAAAACATTTCTAGACAGCCTGTTTTTATTTCAGTAGCTTGAGCAGTATCAACAGTCATTAGTGAGCAAATAGGTGAAAATGCTTATAAGATCTGCCACAAGTGACTGATATCTTTTCTAAACATTATAGAAGATGTCAAACTTTTTATACAAATTTACTATTAGGTGTTTAATATGCACTTAAGTCTTTATGTCCGGCTTATTTCACATAGCGTGTTTTTAGAACTTGTCTATTCTATGAATCAGAATTTCATTTTTATAATTGGAACTGAGAAGCGAAGACACCAGACAGAAGTGGAGAGAGAGAGGTTCTGACCTCTGGTGTGATGTACTCTTAAGTGAAGGTATCGTGGAGGGGGAAAAAATTCTTATAGATACCTACTCAGTTTCAGCAAGCAGGTGGTTGCTTATAAAGAATTTTTACCTTGGGTTTCTATTTGCATCTTGAAAGCATTACAAGACCTGGAGGTAGAGGCTAATTTTACCCCAGTTGAATGGCAAAATAAACTTACAAATTAATTATTTTAATTGTGGAGAAAGAAGATGTATATTTGACACTGATATTACACTAACTCTGTTTATGACTTAAGAACTTTTTAAAGCTGGAATAACATTTATGTTATATAGATACATCTTAGAGGAGTTAGATGCTTAATTTCTATGGAAATTCTTGAATGTCTTTTGAGTGAATGTTTTTTTTTTTTTTTTAAGAATTCTTTTTATTTAATTTTATTATTATTATCATTATCATCTTCCAGTTTGATCAGAGAGAGAGACAGAGAGAGAGAAGAAGTGAGAAAGCAAGCCACCAGGTCCGAGACTTGAATCGTGGTCGGCCATGTGGGAGTCCAGCACCTTTAACTACCATGCGACTTGCCGGCCCCTTGAGTGAATGTTTTTAAAACAATAATAGTTTTTGTTTTGATTTGATTTTTGTTTTTAATACAGATTTTTGCTATAGGGTGTGTGCACTCTCCAGAGAGAAAGGAAGAAATTACCCACAAGGGGTACGGCCACATTGCAGTCCCTTCTCTGTTCTCCTCTCGGGATCTTAGGTGCACACGCACAGGCACCTGGCTTAAGTTTTAAGCCACTGGGTCCGAGACTCAAACCCCTATGTGGGAGTCTAGCAACATAACCATCATGCCATCTGCCGGTCCCTAGAAATAGCTTTTGACAAGTATTCAGAAGTTCAGTCTTCTGTTTATTTTTGACTCTCTTTTATTGGGAGCCAGTGCACAGAAATACAAGCTCCATTGAAGAAAGATAGCTATCTGGTGCCAGCCAGTGGTGTGGTGCTTAAGACAACTGGATCCCACATGGCCAACTATGCAGTTTATGCCCCAGACCTGGTGGCTTGAAAAACACTGGGTGTATGTGCATGCATGTGTCCCAAGAGGAGAATGGAGGAGAAGGGACTGTGGCATGAGCACACACCCCCCCCCAGGGGGTTTCTCACTTTCCCTTTTTCTGTCTCTTTCTCTCTGTCGAGTGCATGCACCGTATAGCCATTTGAAAAAGAAAGATAACTGTTTTGTTCACTGCTGTAGCACCATTGCCTAGGATAATGCCTTAACTTATAGTGGACTTATGTATTATTGACTGGGTAAGCGCCAGGTTAATGGGGCCTTAGTATTATGTATGGAAATTTTCCCATATGTTGTTTAAAATGTGAGATTTTATATATACCTAACACTTTTTAGGTGTTGTCTCTTTAACACAACTCAGGTTATTTTGTTGTACATATAAAATACGTTAAAATAAAAAATATAAGCACTAAAGAGAACATTTGTCAAATAAATGTACCCTATATTTTGTTCAATTATAGGAAGCAGTATGGTTCCTGTCCAACATAACAGCAGGCAACCAGCAACAAGTTCAAGCAGTAATAGATGCTGGATTAATCCCTATGATTATCCATCAGCTTGCTAAGGTCAGTCATGTTACAAATTCATCATGTCTGTTCATCTCTTTTAACCAAGATTTTTTGGATAAAGAATTAATTCTATGATTTATTTTTTAACCTTCAGGGGGACTTTGGAACACAAAAAGAAGCTGCTTGGGCAATTAGCAACTTAACGATAAGTGGCAGAAAAGATCAGGTGAGTTTGAAAAAACTGTTAACTGTCACTGTTAATATTGGAAAGTTGGAAAATGCACTATTTTCTTATGTTTTTAAGCTCTGTTCTTATTGGCGAAAAGATAACTACATGAATTAAAATACTTCTTCTGTTGTCTAGGTTGAGTACCTTGTACAGCAGAATGTCATACCACCATTCTGTAATTTACTGTCAGTAAAAGATTCTCAAGTGGTACAGGTGGTGCTAGATGGTCTCAAAAACATCCTGATAATGGCTGGGGATGAAGCAAGCACAATAGCGGAGATAATAGAAGAATGTGGAGGTAAGAGCAGGTTGATTTAAGAACAAGAGTTGGGCACTGGGACTCAAACCCTAGTTTTAAAGTCAATTTATTAGAAAGAAAATGATTAGGACACATTGTTTAAGGATCAGAGTTTGTTCCTACTACCCCTTCCCTTTTTTGGAAGTTTATTTATTTATTTATTTATTTATTTATTTCATAAGTGGGAATGACAGAACCCCCACAGTGTCCGGACACTGCAGTCCACCCTCAGCTTCAGACAGCCCTGGATCATGGGACATCTGTGCCTGGTGTACCCAGGGAGGTCTCCGGACAAGAACCTGGAACCTTCAGCCTTGTAGAGTGCAGCATTTTACTACTGTGCCATTGTCTAGCCCCTTTGTTCCTGTTTATTCACTGTATTAGCATTCCAGGAGGATTTACCAAAAAATTAGTTTATATTTTCCAAAAACTGGTTATCAAGTCATTCTGTACCTTCCTAGAGGTAGATGCTTTTTAGGAGACACTAATAGTCCTCTTCAGGTCACAGTGCCTGAGAGCAAATTAAAAAGTCTTAAACAGTCACTGCCCTGATAAAAGCTTTGTTTAGTTTAGCATTTCTCAAACTCCTCAACAGAGATGCAATGTTTTTCATGTTCCAGCTATTATCATATGATTCTATCGACCTCACTCTGGGAAATACTATTCTATGTTATTGGAAAAGTTTTAATGATTTCTGGTTTATCTAGATACTTTATTTCAGTCCTTTCAGTTACAGTGGTTTTAGGATTGCCATACATGAGTACCAAAGTTATTACTACAGCAGTTACTTTGAAATTTTAATAACAACTGTGATTTCAAGTATTACATTATTATTTATCTGGCAATATAATGAAATTCATTAAAAGTACCTGTTCAGTATGTACTAAAGTGCCTAAACTTTACAGTAAGCCATGTTTTAGTTTTTACATTTTGTTGTCTATTTTCTATTATTTTTATCAGGTTTGGAGAAAATTGAAGTTTTGCAGCAACATGAAAATGAAGATATATATAAATTAGCATTTGAAATCATAGATCAGTATTTCTCTGGTGATGATGTAAGTAGATATTATAGATATTACAGTGTGGTGTATCTGTACATAAATGAAAATCTACGTGTGATGTGAATTTACTAAGCTTCTCTTTTATTAATACAACTTAAATTTATATTATTTTTCTGTTAGGTACTCTGTTAATCATTTCTCTTAAATACTTTGTCTAAAATTTCATTTTAAGGTAAAATTGTAAAAACTGTTGCATTTGTAATCTATTACCTGGGAAGAAATAGTAATTATAGAAATGTTAGGTTAAATAAATCTATGGATACAAGGACTTAAGAGTCAGTTTTTAAATGTGTATTGAATTTTAATTATTAAATTTCCTTTAAAAATTTTTTTTTAAGAATTATTTACCTTTAGGGGCTGGCAGATGGTGTGGTGGTTAAAGGCGCTGGACTCCCATACCCACATGGCAGACTGTGGTTTGAGTTCAATACCTGGTGGCCTGGTTTCTCACTTTCTCTCTCTCTCTCTCTTCCTCCCTCCCTCCTCCTTTCTCCCTCTCTCTCCCTTTCCCCCTCCCCTTCTCTGGTCAAATCAAAATATAAATAAAATTTATTTAAAAAAATTTTTTTTGAGAGGTTTTTTTTGCTATAGGGCGCGTGCGCTCGCCAGACAGACAGAGAGAGAGACAGAGAGACAGAAAGCGAGAAATCACCCCCCAGGGGGGATGGTAACACCGCAATCCCTTCTCCTCCATTCTCCTCTCGGGATCTTGGGCACGTATGCACACGTGCCCGGCGTGAGTTTTAAGCCACCAGGTCTGGGTCGCGAACCAGGGTTGACTACGTGGGAGTCCAGCAACATAGCCATGACACTAACTGCTGGTCCCTAAATTATTTTTTTAAAAATAATTATTTAAATTTATTTATCCTTATTATTTTTAAAAATTTGCTACAGAGAGAGAAAGAGAAAGTGAAAAAGGAAGCTACAAGGTCTGGGACTTAAACTGTGGTCGGTCATGTGTGGGAGTCCAGTGCCTTAACCACCATGCCACCTGCTGGCCCTAAACTATTAAATTTTTTAATAAAATTATTACTGACTTACCCAAATATTTTTAGATTATTAAAGTATTTACACAGAATTTTAAGAGGTTAAAAAGTCAATTCTGCTTACACCATAATGGACAGTATTATAAGTGTTTTTCTTCTTGCTTTTTATAGATTGATGAAGATCCTAGCCTCATTCCTGAAGCAACACAAGGAGGTACTTACAATTTTGACCCAACAGCCAACCTTCAAACAAAAGAATTTAATTTTTAAGTTCAATCAAGTGCAGCATCTTTCCCACATTCAATATGAAGCACCACCAGATGGCTACCAAATGACAAGAACAACAGCGACAAAAGGCTCCAAAACACACATGCCTCTTCGTTTCGATGCTTCTAAAGCAAGCCATGTCTCAGTCACTTTGCAGTTGCCAAAAGTCACTATCACATGGACTGTAAATGCATATGCATGATTTCCTGAACTGTTTTAGAATTTTCCTTAACAATCTCAACTGCCCTATTTTTCCCTGTTCCCTGGTGCCACACGCCGACAACTGCAGTCTCCAGTTTAGAATATCCCATGGGGTGGCATGTCAGCTGCCCACTGATACTTCTTTGGAAAATGGTGCGCTGTGGATCAAGACACTTTGGTATGATGCATATACATGTTGGAAGACTAAAGAGGTGCAGTATGATCTGAGCCTCCATCATTGTCCTCCACAAACATATTTTCATATTCTTTATGTGGAAGAATAGATTTTAAAGTACAAGCCAAATGATCTTCATTGGTGGAACTGACACACAAAAAGTAACTTAAAAACAAGAAACTTGGTTATTGATTAAACAGATAAGTTTTCAAAAACTTTACTTCATCTACCAGTAATTGATGTGTTTATTATCTGCCTCAGAAGCCAGGGTTGGAGGAAGAACTTTAGATGTGGATGGTAATGCTTTCACCATTATACCTATTTTTTGAGAACAGCAAGCCCTATTTGACCACTCACTTCAGCCTGTGTGTTCCTGCTGTTTTGAAGTAATCAAATGCTGTGCATGGTATTTTACCTGAGCTGCAACCTGCTACGGACTTGAACTTCTGCTTAAGTTGAAAGCAAGAGTCCCTGACTATAAAGGAAAAAAAAGCAAAAAGACAAAAACCGCAAAGGTCTAAAATACCCATTGGTGATGTGTGAAAAAAATCTTGCTTTCAGCTTTCAGGAGTTAATTTCTTTGTTTTAATTTGATAATTGGATATGGTTGATTTATATTGGGTTTAAACTGTGGAGCTTTCATGTTTACTGTAATTTAGTCTTAAAATATTTTTTACTTAGTAACCAGTGCTTTTGATAATGTGGTTGGCAACAAACCAGCAACTATTTAGAAGTGTCATAAGACTTCGTTCTTTGAGTATTGGGCAAATTAATTCAGATCCTAACTTTAAAAGCATCTTCACATTTTAAAAGATCAGATGGGGATCTGTGGAGAGGAATAATCTGCAGTTATTTAACATGAACCTGATTTGCAGTGATCTTTAAGTAATGCTGCAAATCTGGTCTTACTATGTAGAGTCACTGCTTTTGGTAAATTGTCTTGACCCAGTTATAAATGAAAGAATATAAATCCGACAGTTTTTTAAACTAAATAATTTGTGCTGTCACAGAAATGGTTTTGTTGCTCTTGTTCACTGGGTATAATTTCCCAATGCATTGATGTGAAGGGATAGAAAACCTAAACTAATTTAGTTATCTGATGGGGGGTGTATTTACTGTGATGAAGATGAGACAGATGCCATCAGAGCTTCGTGAATCCGCTGGGGTGTTTTCACTGATAAACAACACATAGCAGGTGTGCATTCATTACAAATATATGTATCTGCCAAGGTGGAGCCACTTTAAAGAGTGAGTTTTGTCTTGTATCTAAAGTGGATACAAGCGTATGTTTAAACTGCAAGATTTTTACTTGCTAGAGAATCTGTTTTAATATAGTGGTTTGGCCTCTGATTATTTATAGGTTTTATAAATTTTAGAATCAATTTCTCTTTAAGGTGGCTCAGATTTTTCAACTCTTGTGCACATAAAATTGAGTTGAAGTTCATTGTGCCTTTTTTTCTTTATCCAAATTTTGAGTTAAAGCTTCATATGGTAACTGCATCCTGTTCGGACACTATAGTCTAAATTTTTGAAACTGCGTGGTGTTCACTAATAGTAAGAATAACAAGGTCAAAGCTAATTAAGGTCACAAACTTCGGTGAAACCCTTGAAGTCCAAATCTTCTTATATTGTAAATTGTACCCCTTCCAGTTTTGTTTCTTCTGGACTCTCCATACTTAACTGACAGTTACCTTTTTAAAATTTTGCACACATTAAGATTAAAATTGGGCCTCTACTGTGAAGATTCCTATTCCTCTTGTGTTTTAAGTGCAAACTAACATTTAAATGAACATTAGCATCAAGTAGTGCAGACATACGAATGCATTTGCTTGATTCAATTTGTTGTGACCTTACCAGTTTTGAATTGGAATTGCACCATTTCATAGATAATGGAAACTAAGTATATTGCTGCACTTTTAAGTTTTCAAAACAGTGTTTAAAAATTGCATTTTTTTTTTAACTCAGTTCAAAAAGACTAAAACGTTCTTTCAAAAGAGGCATCTAAATGTGTTCCTAATTTTGTATATGGGCTTAGGTTTTTGTAACCAATAAAAAAAAAAAGCTGCTATCAAATATGATAAACCATTGAAAGAATTCTTTCTGAAAGTAACATAATTGCTTAGTTTGTTTTCTGTATGGTTAAATTTAAATTTGGAATTATTTTCCAAATATCAAATCAACCACAATACAACTGAATCATGAATTACTCTTTTATTGTATTTTCATACCTCCTTATTACACAAATTGGGAAGATCAATATCAATGCTAGGTTTGAGAGTATTTTGTGGCAGATAAGTACCAAAATGTGTATTACTTTCCTAGGCTTCCATAACAAAGTATCACAAACAGGGTGGCCTTGAAGAACAGAAATTTCTTGTTACCATCCTGGAGGCTAGAAGTCTGAAAACGGGGTAACGACTGGGCCAGGCATAGTCTCTGAAAGCTTTGTAGTGAGGACCCTTTCTTGTCTCTTCCTGGCTTCTGGGAGTTGCTGGCAATTCTTGGTATTCCTCGACTTACATGACAATCTCTGCCTGTCATCACATGGTATGCTCCATGTTTATCTCAGATTTAAATTCTGTAGCTTCTCAAAAAGACCATTTATTTGAAAAGATGGTGTGATTATGACTTTCATGAAACAAAAAAGAATCAAACTTGAAGGCCGCCTAACCCCTGAAAACGTAACTATACGTTACATAGTAATGAAAGTTATAACCTGTTAGGTAAAGATTGTGACTCTAAATGAAATACTAGACTAAGTAAAAGAACAAAGGGATAGCCAAACCTTTGACTAAAATATTTTTACTGGGGCCAGCAGATGGCATAATGGTTATGTCACTGGCCTCCCATGCAGTCAACCGCAGGTTGAATTCCTGACCTGGCAGCTTAAAATGAATGGTGGGCGTATGTGTGTGTGTGCATTCACGCCCAAAATCCTGAGAGGAGAATGGAAGAGAAGAGATTGCGGCATGGCCATCCCCCCTGGGGGGTGATTTCTCGCTTTCTGTCTCTCTGTCTCTATGTTGAGTATACGCACCCTATAGCAAAAACTTCTCTAAAAAGAAAAAAGAAATATTCTCTTTTTTTTTTGGATGTAGTACTTTTTTTGTGATAGTACTCGTACAGCCCTGTTATCGTTTTTTCCAGAAGGTCATTCTTTTCAGGACTTTAATATTTAATCATTACAACAAAACAAGTAAACAACAGGAACTGACATTTGTGAATATCCATCCACTTTCTTACAATGACGGTTAACTTTTTTAAACCCCAGTTGAACTGGGAAATTCTGATTAAATCTGGGGAAAGGGAGTATAGGTTCTGTACATTAAACTGAGCTTTAAGACACGTAACCCAGAGTGCACTCCAGTCCTCCACTCATTTGTGTGAACTTTAAAAGGAACTCTTCATTTTACACGTGTCTTAGTTGATTAGGTGGCTGGAAGCAGGGATACTACAATTTTCCAAAAGTACTATATCTCATAATTAAGAGAAAGCATTTGGAGAAAAGGGTCTGGGAATGTGACCTGTTGCCCCTGTTTTCTCATGAAATCATTCCTCAACTAACTTTGGCCTAATGTGGGGTTTCTCAGACCCTGCACAATTGACATTTTAGGCTGTCTAATTGTGGGGTCTGTTGTGTGCAGCGTGGGGTTTTTAGCAGTAGCTGTGGGCTTTGCCCGCTGAGTATCAGTAGCACCTCTCCCCCAGTCAAGATAACCAGAACTGTCTCTAGACGTTGCTAATTGTGTCCTGGGAGCCAAAACCTACCTAGTTGTGAACCACTGGCCAAAGTCAATTCCTATAGTAAATTCTATTCAAATGAAGTAGCCCAGATGATGACTTCTTAAATTATGTACACAGTTCCAGGCTCTCCTCAGATATGTAAGATAGAGAAGGACAGAAATGTGTCTTTTCTTCATTCTGGGTTTTAGGAGAAATCGGGGGCAGACCCTAACCTCATTTCCCAAATCACTCATTTATGGGAACTCTGGAGAATACTGAACCCCAAATATTGCAAAAGACTGAGGGTAAAAATGGAAATATGGAGTAACTATTCTCTTAAGTATATCTTGCATCTAAAAATAGGGTTGTACAAGGGCTCTTCCAGAAGTTCATGAAAAAAAGTGTATCGTGAGTAAACCATGCATGGGGCCAGCAGATGGTGTGGTGGTTAAAGGTGCAGGGTTCCCACACGGCCAACCGTGGTTCATATCCTGGACCCAGCAGCCTAAGAATCATAACAAAATAAATAAATAAATGAAGAAGGATTGCATGGATTTCAAAATTTTTGCAGCAAAATAAGCTAATATTTTAATTTTATTTTCCACATGCTTTCAAAAAGTTACCTGGTATGAAATCATCAAATGGATTGCCCAGATCATCCCCAAACTGCCCATAGCAGTATTTCTGGAATGTTTTTAGTTGAAGATCTGTAAGTTCTCTGAGGAAAGGTGGAGTTAGACTAGAAAATCATGGCAGTAGTTTGAATATCACTTCTTGAAGCATTGTGAAAGTTGGGCCCATCAAAAGACTTACAAGTTTATTAAATTATTAAAAGCAGAGAAACAATGGCTGAGCCTTGCTATAAAGGAATTTCTTCTACAATGTCGTCCTTCCCTACCCTAACAAATTGCCATTCACCTCAAGTAATTCTCTTAAACTATACTAACTCAGACAGCTGGGTCTTGTACCAAGACATATAAAACCATAAGATAAGCAAGGAACGTCTTCATGAAATAGCGGTTTTACTAGTTGGTAAGTAAAACAACTTTATTACAGTAAGCCTGATATTACAGAGTAAAGTACATATTTTGTGTAATGTTTAAAGATAGGGACCAGCAGGTAGCATGGTGTTTAAGGCGCTGGACACTCCCACATGGCCAACCACAGTTTGAATCCCGGACCTGGTGGTTTACTTTCTCACTTTCCCTCTTTCTCTCTTGTGTGTCTCTCTAGTCAAATTATAATAAATGAGTAAATAAATAATTATTTAAAAATAAATAAGGGAACAGCAGTTGGTGTAATGGCTGTGTCGCTGGACATAGCCATGTGGTTGGCTGAGTTTTGAGTCCCGGACCCAGTGACTTAAACTCAAGCCAGGCGTGTGCGTGCATGCCCAAGATACCGAGAGGAGAGTGGAGAAGTGATTGCGGCGTGGCCATTCCCCTGGGGGAGGGGGGCCGTGATTTCTCACTTTCTGTCTCTGTCTTTCTGTCAAGCACATGTGCCCTATAGCAAAAACCTCTCAAATAAATGAGATTTTTGAGGCAGGCCATTTTACGAAAACATTTCTGCAGGAATGGGAGTCAGAAATTTGACAAGTGAATGAGGTACTCATTTCAAGGGAACTTGTACTTTGTTGGCTAGCTTTAGTACCTACAAAGGCCCTCTTAATATTGAACAAAAGTCACCTCTTAAATGGACTTTAATTCTTTTTGATCAAGAGTAGACTATTTGTTATTTCCAGATACCAGAAAACACTGGATCCCTTTTTATCAGCTTCCTTCCTCACCTGAACACCTCATGATTTTCATCTGTCCTGATTATAATCATGGCACTGTCATTTTATTTTTGCTGGTGGGTGATTGTGTTTGCCAGGGGAAGAGAAAGCACTTCCCAGTCGAGCATGGTCATGTTATAATCCTTTTTTCTTTATTTCTCATCCTCTTGAGGTCCACGGCACCCACACGTTAGTGTGGAGAGGTTTTCGCTATAGGGCGCGTGCGCTCGCCAGACAGAGACCGAGAGACAGAAAGCGAGAAATCCCCCCCCCCCCGCAGAGGGGATGGTCACGCCACAATCCCTTCTCCATTCTCCTCTCGGGATCTTGGGCACACACGCACACACGACCGGCGTGAGTTTTAAGCCACCGGGTCCGGGACGCGAACCGCGGTCGACTACGTGGGAGTCCAGCGACATAGCCATTACACTAACTGCTGGTTCCCCCCAAGCCTGTTTTCCAAACCCCCCGGGCCAGGGTTTGATCTGTGGTCAGCCATGTGGGACCTGATTCCCAATGCACAGCACCTAACTACTGTACTGGTCCTTATTTGTCCTGATTATAAAATTATTGCAGGACTTGGATGCTAATAGTATGATGTCCTATCATAAAGAGTGTAGTATGATTTGTTTCTGAGTATAGTGGGATGGATGGATAGGCACTTAATTCTGTTAATGTGGGGGAGAGTATATCACATAATCTTACCAGCTTCATCATCATTAGGGGGATCAGCTAACAGCCTCAGCTCTCATAGTTACCAACTCTCTTGGCCCAGTAAGTAGATATCCACCCTCTTCAACCCAAAATACAAGAATCAATATGTCACATTATTTTCCTCATAATTTCATATTTATTTTCTTATAATTTCATATTCTGTTGTCTATTCTTTCCGTATCCTCAGTCTTGACATTGAGAAAGCCTTTAGAAACATTCATGTATTGAGC